GGAATCCATCCCGATTGGCAGGGCAACTCTGGTCAGTTGACTTTTGCGCTTCAACTGGAAGTGGGCGAGCAGCGCTTCGAGTCTGATTTCGGCGCAATGGATTTGCACAGAGGCGACCAGTCTTGAAGCACCGTGAAAGGATTGAAGTTTGAAGATGTACATGATTGAATATATTTCACAATGGGTGCAAACATTTCCTAAAATGTCATTAAGTTTGATGGTTGTCTCGCTTGATTTGGTTGCTTGAGGCGTGCCTCTCGTCTCCGACGCGATTGTCCAAGTTGTTGCCATGATGAAGAACGGAACGAAGGTCTCCATCGGGTACACGTTGCGAACCGCAGAGTCTGACATCACAGTGGTGATCCATGAGTATGACCCAACGGAGGTGAAGAAATTGCAGTTGCTGGTGCTGCCGGTGTTGGCCGATAAGGTGCCTTTGCCTATGCAGATTCTTTCGGGAATAAACTTCATTCATATGCACAGATGCAGACAAACGTACTAATTGCGTTGATCATTGATATCTAGATTGGAATGGATTGTGCAACGTCTACTTGCTCTTGACAACCAGGGTGCTCATAGAGTGGCCAAGCTGTTTCGCATTTTGCTTCACATGAATGCTCTTCCGCTTCTGAAGTGAAAAGTATTCCCAGGCCTTCACCGCGGAATGGAAGGACCCAAAGCTTCAGATTCAAGAATCCGAGATGAAAGCTCTCGACTTCAGCGAATCGACCCGCTGCATCGAAAGCTCCCTTCTGCAGAACCGCTATAACGCCTGCGGCGCAGGTCCGTTGAAAGATTTGCCAATCTCGATGGCCTTGGTTCCTTGGATCAGTTCTTTCACACCCAAGCCTTTCACAGTGGCTTTGCGGAAAGACAGCGCCACACAGGGCACCTTTCCGACCATCGAGCAGAGTTTGAACGTCGCATGGCATGGCGTGGACGCGCCAGCCGCATGGGCGGCCAAACACAAGGCCTGCGAGCTGTTGACCATGAGCTCCGAGGTCAACGAGAGAGTAGCAGCATCCGCCGACGCACTTTGTGAGCTTATGAAAAACAAATGTTTCGGCCAAGTGGAGGAGTTGATGAATAACTCCAAATTTGGATCCTCATGGCAAAGTGATGAGCTTCTGTTGGCATCCAAAGCTTTCCAAAGCGTGGGTTGCTGCCACAAGCAAGGCCAGTGCAGCTTGAAGTGGTCCTACGAACATGGCAAGCTGTGCTTGGAGCAAACCAAGGTGCAGGTGTCCCTGAACTCCTTCATGGAGTTTCTTAGCCAGTCAGTGTCAGCTGGCAATGAGTTGAGTTCGCAGGCCAGAGACTTTCCGTTGGACTTCCTCAAACTAGTTGCCGAGCATGTGTGGCAGATGCCTCCCCTCGAGTCCATCCTCGCTGCGGAGGTTGCAACGTGGCACTCCAAGGTGGCGGAGCAGGTGTTGGCCAGCATGATCGAAGCGGGCAAAGGAGAAGCGGCCAACTTCAGCGAGGAACAGGCGCAAGAGAGCTTTGGGAAGGTCGCGACTCTGAAGGTACAGCTCCGAGATGCAGCGCAATTGAAGGACGTTCTTGTGGCACTTCGCTTGGCCGGCAACCTTTCGACCGTGTTGGTTCAGTGTCACGAGTGTGGAAACCACCACACGCCAAAGGCGGAGCATTGGCAGCAGCTCACTGCGGCGCTGTGCCACGTGGAGAACATCGAGATCCGCTACTTGGACCTCGGCCAGTTGGCTCCGTGGAGCTGCGACGAAAACGGCCGAGTGCAGAAGTTGGTCTTGTACTATGATCGCATCACCGAGCTGCCGGAGGAGCTATTCGAAGGCACGTGGAGCCACCTCAAGGTGCTGGAGTTGCATGGCAACAAGATCAAGGAGCTTCCTCCGAAGGTTTTTCACCACACTCCGCACCTGGAGACGTTGGACCTGTACGACAACCAGCTGTCTGCGCTGCCGGAGGGGGTCTTCGCAGAGCTCCCAAAACTCAAGGAGTTGACCTTGGATTACAACCAGCTCCAGAAGTTGCCTCCGAAGGAGTTCCAGGGCTTGGCCTCGTTGGAGAAATTGAGCTTATCGGAGACTGGGCTCACAGAGCTGCCGGACGAGCTCTTCCAAAACCTCACGAAGCTCCGAGCGTTGAACTTTGGAGGCATCAGGCTTCGCCAGCATCCCTCCATCTGTCGAAGTGCAAAAAGATCTGTGGAGTGCAACACCTGGTGATCATCAGATTGATTGCGCCCTTCTTCACAACTTCACAAAGACTGAAAGAACACTTGACTTCCTGCCACCGGAGTTCCAAAGAAGTGCGCTGCTGCGCCCCTTTGCGGTTGAAACCTGCACAGAGAGGAAGGTGGTCATGTCAAGTTTTCCGTCCGTTTTGCACGAAAGTCCAGGAGAGCTTCTGTGACAAGGTTGAGTTTTATACACATGTATAGAGCCGCAACGCAACCTTCGGCTGCAAGCGTGGAGGGGGGCTTTCACCCAATTCCCCACCGTGATGCTATCACCCTGGCAGTCACAGGCGGCGGTGAAAGCGGAGCTGGCCTACATCAAGCGGGAGGACCAGGCAGGGGAGCTCGCACGAGTGTAGGGAATCCACACTTGAGGTAGCTGTGTGAAGCGGCTGCAGCGCGGGGTTGCCATACTCCCCATGGAGCTGGCTTCAGAGGGCAATCATGGGAGTGAACTTGAACTTAAAGGCCCTATGCTGCGGGAAGCTTCTCTTTCTTTGTCGCCAGTCCATCCCCTACATCCAAAAAAAACAGTTCAGGAATTGTGGACACTTGATCTCCTGGTCCACCAAGAACTGCCAGGACATGCTGGATGAGACCGGCCGCACGAAGCCCATCCTCATCGAGTCCAAGTCCAAGCGGCTCGGATTGTGGGCGAAACACCCGGGGGTGACTGGTCAGAGAAATCCATTGCGATGCGCGCTTGGAGGATCATGTATTTCCCGGGTCCGTTGGACAGGCAGTTTGATCTACCTTCGCTCATGACTCGTGACATGTCACGACTGTTTCTCATTGCGCCTTGTATTCGCCCTTTCATCGATTGTTTGGAACTTTGGAGCACCTGATACCATTGGCAGACAAGACACCATCGAAAGGGAGAAATGGTTCGCGTCAAAGTACCCTTTGCAGAAATCAGATAGTCTTGGGATCCCACTGTTGAAGAAAGAAATCCACAAGTGACCCCAACCACATCACCTGAGCCTGATAGCCTTTCGATTGAAACCAAGCGAAGGCAGGGCATGGCACCGCCCTTTTCATGAATCCATGAATCCGGCTGAACGAGGCTCATCGAACGGCTCTAGATCAATGAGTTCCTTTACAGCTCTCAGCGCTATAGCGCGACATGTTCGGGCGAGAAACGTCGCAGCCAGACTTAGGCAGTGAACGCCCCCAATCTAGGGTGCACCGCTCCTGGTCCCACTAACTCTCAAATCCTCATCCAAATCAACAGTCACACCCACCTCAAGATGAACATGCGATCTCACAGGAGCCTTGCCAAATCGGATCCTCAGCCTGCTCTCTACCTCCTCTGAAAGTGCAGCTGGCCATCCCGACCATGACTCCAGACACCATTTTGTAAACAAAGCAATGCTTAACATCCACCTGTGAAACACCACAAGCAAGTCCCAAACCCCTCATCAAACCAAAAGAAAGGTCCTTGTAAAAACAGGCAGCTTGTTCGCCAAGGTGGTATGGAACTGGTCATAACGTTTGACGCTGGCGCCCATCTTTCGCTGATTCCCAGATATCAAGCTCCATCCGGCCCACAACTCTAGAAAGGAAACACAGACCATCATAGACCTGTTCAGCAGCAATCAACTCACAACCCCTCAAAAATAGATCTGACGATCTCCTTTCCAAAGATCTTTGCTGTGGTCGCCTGTACAATGAGGTCCTCAGCACCGACCGGGAACTGTCCTAGCAAAATCGCTCACTCTTGCAGGCGCCAGCTTATTTAAAGTCAGTCGTTCCGCTGCTTCGGAATCCTTCAAGGTTTCATGCGCCTGAGCAAGTTCCGGCAAGTGTTCCTGGGGATTCGATTGTTTCTTTGCATCCATGTTCGTTGTCTGCTGAAACGTTTGTGAATGCTCCAGAAATCTTTGCTACGACAAGTCAGCTTTTCTTGTTGCCAAAAATCAAACATTAAAGACCACGGGACAAGTGGTTGCGCAACTGCCGGATCTGCTCTGTGACTGCAAGGTCCCATCAATGAAAAGTGATAGCTTTCTATGTAAATTCCTATTTCAAATTTCTCAGTAGCGTCAGGAGTGCCCTCCAATACTCATGTTTAAGTTCAAGTTGGAGACAACCCATGCTGTGTCATGCAGTTGGGAAGAGAATCCCACAACCTGTGCAAGCGCGCATACTTGGTCCTCACTTTGTCATGTTGCCTACAATGCAGTCGATGCAACAAAGTGTCAGGTTGTGCACAATACCTGCACTCTCCTTTGCATGTCACATCCCAGTGAGCTTTTTGCCTTTTCTGTGCAGAGCAGATAACGCCCTGACTGGTCTAGAGCAGAGCTGACAAGAACATTGCATTGGACAATTGTGAGTCCAGGCAGTGTTGATCCGTTCCCACACGCACACTGCACTGTCCACCATAAATCCAGAGTGCCTTCCATTTTCTTGACGACCGTGTTTGAGATCCAAAACCACATGCCACCACTGGTGACAAGGAGGGGTCATGAATAAACCCAATAAATGAAAACGAGCAGGGGAGGCCCCTGCTCAAGCCCTGCATCGCCCCGTCCATGATTGAATCATGTGCTCAGGGACCATCATGCTGACTCAATTGACTTACTTCAACCTATATCGTTTCTAGAACCTGCCTCCTTAATAGTCTCTTACGCCGTTTCGACAGTCATGCCTTGAGCACATGCCTGTTTTCCGGAGAAGTACTCCATTCACAAGAGATTTCTGTCATCCTGTTGCAAATCAAGCATCTCCAGCTAGCCAGCAGTGGCACAAATGTGGTCACAAAGGTCAAGTTGTCCACATAAGAAATGGCTCTCACTTCAGGCAGGTATCTACCATCACATAGCACCATACCCAGGCAACTCAACGGATCGCCCTTTCGCATTCAAGCTGCGCTTAGCAACGCCTGCTGCCGCGGACAGCAGGTCAAGAGGCTTTGCCAACAACTCCTATCACCTATCACCTTTGCCATTGCATAGACTGGTGCTCTAGGGATGAATTTGAACGCCTTCACTATGTCAGCGACCTATGCCTGCAGACTGTCACAGCTTCGAAGACCCAGCTCAATGGGCATTTGAATTAGGAAGAAGTATTGCAGAGCCCGTCTCCCAGGCATGAAACCAAAGCAATGCTCATCCACAAAAGGTTCCAACTGTGTCAGGATCTGCTTTGCGCGGATTGAAGAACAGTCCTCATAGGCCATTGAAAAGAGTGAGATCGGCCTGAACTCGTCAATGCCTTGCTACATGCTTTTGAGCAGAACTACGATGGCATTGGATGTTTGAATTCGCCACTCCATCTCGATCCTATTGACTGATGACTGCTTGACAGGTGCAGCAAGGCGTCCCTTGACCATGCATCAGGACCTCTTGCTGACTTGGCCTTGAGGCTTGGAGGGCTCTGGTGGTGTGTGAGAGACCCGACGCCAACCTCAATCTTTGGGAAGAATGCTCTCACAAATCGGATGACTCTGTCCTTCCCATGCCACCTGGCACTCCACTCCGCGCCTCCTGGCTTCTTCAAAGTTTTGAAGACAATTGCTCATCGCCTGTCTTCTTACTTTCTCCTGGAAATGTTCAAGCCTTCTAAAGTTTGCCTCAAAATCCTCAAAGTATACCTCTTTGCGCCGCAATCTGAGTTTCCATGTCCTCTTCCACTAGCCTTCTGCCTCTCGCCCTCTTCAAACCCTGGGCAAAAGCCTGGAAAGAGAAACTTCAAATCTGTCGCACCATTGGCCAAATTCGCCCTTCAAGTCAATTGGCCCGTGACCGCTGCCTGCCTTTCTCACAAGCGGCATGCCATTGGCCAAGCTTCACTTGATTCCACGGAAGGTAGGTGGGCAGGTGCCATTCCTGTGTTTCTGCATCCAGTCCAGAAGTCGAAAGCTACCCAGCAACAGCAGCATGCGTTGGGAAGTAAGCATCGCACACTTCCATCTCTCTAAGAGCCCTGAACCCCTAGTCGTACTTCCCCTGCAAGTTGCTATCATTTCGCAACCTCTTTTCTCTTTTTCTTGAGCCCCCCGCCTCCCTCCACCCATACTGTCTCCCACTCAACTGACTTGCGTGCCTGCGTGATTGAAGTCAAGACACCTTGAACTGTAAAATGTATTGAATCTCCAACTGCCTTGTACAACTGGTGCCTTTGACGAAGGCTCCAAGACGAGCATGGATCATCTCCTCCGATGCATGGATCTTCCCTCTGCTCTTTCCTCTTCCGCTGCGCAGATTTGACCCACGAAATCATAACCTCGGGGAGATTGAGCTGCCACCACTGATCCTGCGGTTGAGCAACGCCGAACTTTTCGTTTGAGCTGCGCAACGCGCTTTTGCATGTGATCCTAAAGTGCCCGCGATTCCTTAATGATCACTTCGGCAGCCAGATGAAATTGAAATTATGTGTGAGATGGCCATCGACATCCCGGCACCATTTGCGACACTGAAGCCCGCATGACTTGCCCTGACAAATCATTTCTGTCTTTTTCTGAATGTACATCACTGGTCTTTCACATGCATCTCTGAAATCCAGGATCTTTGAAGGTGGCCGTAGGTGTTTCAAAAATCAGTGGGAGCAGTCAAGGATCTGAGTTGATTTGGGGTCAGGTTTGTGTTGGTATTAGGGGTTAGGTTGGTTTCTTTTGGTTTCCTTGCCCTCCCCCTCCCCCCTGGTCCACCCCTGGGCCACCACTGGCCACTGGCGGCCCTGGGCGCTGGCAGCGCAGCTGCTAGTGGCCGCTTGGTGGCACTTTTTTCCTGCATGGCCAGGCTGCATGGGACAACTCAACCACTGGGTTTTGTTGTCAGTGTGTGTGTGTGGTCTTAATACACTTTACTATCTAGACTAGTGTGTGTGGTCTAATCTATATAAATATATTATGCCACTTGGTGGCTCTTCATCGTGCTGGCGCAGATGTCCATGATTCACAGGTGGTGATCCTGTGGTGAAACAGGAAGATGCAGCAGCGCACTGCACTGAATTGCTTGATTCACAGCTTCACATCTTCACATCTTCACATCTTCACAGGCCACAAGTGCCAAAGGCCAACCACAACAGTGCCAACAAAGCACACAAGCAGACCACAATAGCGCCAAAGGTGCACAAGCAAATCACAACAGCACCAAAGACATATGCAGACCACAACAGAGACAAGACACACAAGCAGACCATAACAACA